ATTTATCGGTGGATGAAAACAAAGTTGCGATTCCTTATTAAGATCAACAGTACACTGTCGTTTTCTAATGGTTGTACATCACATAACTCCTTGTTAGGGTCTTTGAGTTGTCCGATATAGTAGTAAATTTTAGCCATCTGTTTTTTCCAGCTGTTGACACTCAGGTTTTTTTGACCGCAAAGACTGCTACTGCTGTGGTAAAAGAAGGAATGTGAAGGTTCACGCTTCATTGAATTCCGAGAAATTTCTGGTGCACAATGGAACTGAAATACCGTTTCATATAGGTACACCGCAAATTCGATGATGAAGTTTATGCTTTAAAGTAGCAGGGGTGCGTTATCGGCTTCATTTAACTGATTGTTTTACTTCAGCTGTGATTTTAAGTTAGTGTCACATTTGTAAGCGATCATTCATTAATTGCAATTGTTTATCTAAATGGCACTTATTTTGAAAATGTTCTCAAATTGAAGCTGACACTACACGATCCCAAAACTGGCTTATCTTTTAGCAAATGGCGCAAGTGCATTTGCAATGATCAGATCCTTTATCATTTGATAATTGGACTCCGCATCATGCCAGACAATTCATGTTGCTAATCGTTTTTCACATATTACTGTCTTCCGGGGAGAACAATGGCGGATTTCGGTGTCCGATTCTAAAAGAGTACAGCATCCAAAAGTATCATTTGACGAAAATATAAACTCGTTGTTTCATCAATCTGATTCAGTTTACGACAGTTTCTCCAGAAAACCTGCTTGTGTCTGAACTCCGGGTTCCTCAAATCGAGCTGTAAACACTGGATTAACACAGTAATCCTCTCCCTTTTGGGGACTAAAATACTATCCTCGGTCCTACCACACTCTGTCCGGACTTGTATCAGAAAATAGCCACATTGTGCTCTACTGCGCAATCCAACTAATTGATGCACTCAAGTGCATGTACTAATTCCCGTTTACAGGTCTATCTTTATCATGTGTGAATGTGTTTCAGTCCGGGGGAAATCAAATTACATTGCTTATACCTACATATCGTTTACATCTCCATGCTCTCTTCACACGCGCTGGACAAGGCTCTGCAGCAATCGGGTCATGCTGTGACGTTTGTGTTTGGAGAATTTAGCTTCAGTGTTGGATTCGATTATTGTTGCAAGTGTTCCAATTTGGGATCTGAAGGAGTTTGGACTATCTGAAGTTGTATACACTCAGAAATGTTGCTTAAAACAGAAACTAGTAAAGGAAGCGTTTTATCACCCGCCTGTTGAAATCCTGTACATCATAAAAATGAAAATCTAACTAACAAAAAGCACAAAATGATGGAGCGCACACAAAAGGCTTTGTTTTTGTTGACTTTGTTCTTTGACAACAAATTCTCTCCTTTTCCCTCATATATACTGAATGTCCCACTCTCATTCTGTGCAATATTAACGGTGTCTGCCCTGTTATTTTTCATTTTGGGGTCCATCCAAAATACAAATCTGGTCGGTTCAACTGAAAAAGAGCACACATGTACTCGTCAATCAACCTAAATACACACAAAAACAGAAATAATCAGGTTTCTGTATATGATTGGGTAGAGATGGTTAGTTATAAACAAGGAAACTATCTTTTCGTAACCCGATAGTAAACCAAGTTGCTATGATTTAATTAGTTTTTTGCTGCGAGTTGTCAGGTCTGTGCCTTTGAAGTTCCATTTGGTTTTATCCTGCTCGTTTGTTTAATCGTTGTTTGTTTGTTTGGTTCGTTGGCTCGCTTGTTCGTTTGTCTGATCGTTGGTGTACAGCATTCTTTTTTATTACTGGATGGCACTGAGAACGACAGTGGTTTTGTACTTCGTTACGATTGGCCACCTGTGTTGTACACGCCCACCATACTGGTAAGCTTACGCGTCTGTCCGTTCTTTGGTCCTCTGGTAGAACTTGATCTGTCTGTCTATCCGTCTCGCCCGGTCTCCCGCTCACATACTCTCCACGGAGGTGGGATTTCGTTTGTCTGTACATCTATTTGTCTGCCAGTCTAGCTGGCCATCACTTCGTTCTATTTGGCTTCTTCATTTTTCATCTAACTCGCCTAATGGCATCCGTCATCTGGTCACTTGCAGGCAACGTCAAAATCATTTTGCGCGCTTGTCAACCTATGGCCATTACTAACTGAATTTCGCCTCAAGTTATACGTGATTTTGTGTATATTATGTGGCACTGTTGAGAGAACTGATGCCGAAGTCAAAATGCTTATGGTGTCCAATTTCAATTTATTTTATCATATTGAAATGAATATAAAAGGAAACGATGGTGTTTACAGAAGAAAATAGACACAGCTTGGCTTTTTTAGTGCTAAGTTACATAATTAGTTTAAATCATTTCGCAACGAATGTGGGTTCCACCTTGATTAAAGTTTGCAAATGTTTTCTTGGAAATCTTTCAAATGAACTAAGCGAGGGAGTTCTTAGGTTCAATCGCTGGACGAGTAAAACGGCCTTGGTTTTCATCATTGTGTGGGGAATAATGGCTGGTTTTATTCGGGTGCACAAATGCAATCCAGGGAGTGTCGTTTGTTTTAAATAAACGAGATAGATGAATTTATCACTTAAATTGAAACGAACAATGCATAAACCCGCAGTTATAACCAACGTTCTCTCGGTTTCAAATTTTTTAACATATAAAAATATGAAATGTGATTCTGGTAGTCAATCAGTTGATCCTTCAATTTGTCCATTCTGGTACTGTTTTATTATACTTCAGAATTCAGTTCCACATTGTTTGTAACCGATCAACTGTTAGATATCCAGATGTATACGGTCAATTGATAGTAGTGTCCCGCGATTCCCGTCAAACAGGACTTTATGTTTTCAGTTAATTGAATGGTTCTCAAGTAGACTGTCTGAGTTTGCTGCATACGGCTAGGACTATTCTGTTGTCTAGCTCTTGTTGTGATTCGGAGCACACAGAAACACACAATCTTTGGTTTGGATTTTCTTCATCATTTTTTCCCATATTGTATTCTTCCGTTGACATCATTATCCACGTTTATGCATGTCCGGAGATTACTCCAAAGTTTATGAAATATGAATGATGGTGATTTCGCACTTCACTGGATTTTTCCATCATACTCGTTCATATGGATGACAGACAGATTGAATCACAAACTTGTCGGGGTATGTCCAGCATAGTCATGTTATACAATGGAAAGAGCAGAATCTGAATGAAAAGAGAATGTAATGACTGCAAACACGATATGGTGTGTACGTCCAAACAAGTCATAACACATCTAGCGAGAGGCTATTATTGTGACACGGGTTGTGATAGGGGTATTCGCTAAATAATACACAAAAATGTGCAGTTTCCAAAAAATATTTGGACACGTCTCTTCTTTCTTGCGTTAAAGTACGAGGCGATATATTAATTGAAAACGGTGGTACCTGGGAAGAGTTGCTTTACATTTACCGAAGTACACAAATGCAATCTATCAAAGATTTTTAAATTATATCAATGCCATCATCTGCTTTTCAACAGAAAATATGAATCACCTCCAACGAAGGAATGAAATCACCCTCTCCATGTTAGTGAAATTCCGTTGGCTTGATTTTAGCTCAACTGGTTGAGACAACTTGAAGGGCTCGCCTTTGTTCAACCAACAGCGCATTGGTATCATAGCAACCATTAAACAAATGACATCCACTTCTGTTCGGATCCTTTTGGTTTTCCGCCACTGGCACTTCTTAGTAATCGTGTGACTGACAGTTATACGGCATCCCTTTTGCGGTGGTGATGCGTTATTTATACCGAGTTGCCGATGCATGCGTTCAAGTGGGGATGATGATATCGACCGGATTGTGGAGCAGAGAGTTCGTTGTACAATTGATTTCACAATTTTATTTGTCTCACTGTTAGGACTACGTGTATCCAAGTGGAATAGAAAGAAGTATAACGGTGGTATGGTATGTTGTTCTTAGGCTAATGAAATTACTACAAAGTTAAATTGGTTCGTACGCCAAACTTTATCAGAAAAAAGTCATGCGCGTTATTCAACGAGAACTGCGTTGAATGCGTATAGTCTTCTTGATAGACGTCAATAGAATGTAGAAAAAACATTCCCCAGTATTTCACAAATGCATGGTTAAAAATGAATGTCATAAAATATATGTTACATCATATACCCTTATTATCATAAACCCTTATTATAATTCCGTACGCTCTGTGGTTGTTTCACTAATTCCTGTCATTTTGCCCTACCAGCCTAAGGTAAATCGTTGTTTACTATGAATGGTAACTACCGGGCCTATTGTTTGGTGTTAAAAGCGACTCATGATGATCCTGAAACATGTGTTTTGATCAGCATTCTGATCAGCCGAAAGCATATAGTATTTCTATATTTTTCATGTAATGGCATATAAATGATTTTCAAACGTGTTCCGTTTTATGGTGATACAGTGCAAGGTTATATAGCCCCCTTTTTCAGGGTTCGATTTTGTGCACCAGTCGTATTTCTAAACAACACAATTTCCATTAGGTCTCACTTTGAATCTTATTATTTAAATCCAATCAGAAATGTGAACTGTTTGTGTTGAAGCCGAGGTTATTGATCTCAAATGCAATCAATCAGCTCAATCTACAATACATACTGCTTCATAACGTTGGAGTTTTCAGTCTTGCTGGCGAAGCGTTTTCTATCCGGTGAAACGGATAGATAAACTTCAAAGTTTCTAAGCGTGAGTTGATGAGTAACTATGGCATTACCCAAGGGACCAACATCAATTTCGGTAACCTTTTAATGTGTGTGTATGACTAATATTGCTGATTACTTGAGTGAATCATCAAGTATTCAGCTTATTTAATCCGTAACTAGGAAACCTGTCATCTAATCATCTAATTATACATGTAAGTACGTTACAGAACTTAACACATTTTTCCAATAGTTTGCTTTGCTCCATACATATGTTCAATTTTAAGCTTTCTGTTTTTAATCAGCTGTTTTCACCTACCGGTTTCTGCTNCTTCACAACAGTTCCTCGATCTCCTCGGGATCCGCTGGAACTAGACCGACCACCCTCACCTGCTTATTCGTACGCCGGTGTGGATCCAGTCGTTCCGGGTGACTACAATGGTGTCGTCCCCGATGTTTCCGAAGTGGAGGATTATGATTCTGATCCTTTGGGCTATAACAGTCGACCAAAATCGGGTAGGTATCGGTCGGGTGTTATTCAAAGACAGATCACTGGTCCATACGAGTGGACAGACGAGCAACCAATTTGGTACGACATGGAAGATCAGACAGTTCACAGAGATCAGGTATACGAAGAACGCCCTATCAGACGTCGACCGCGTTCACGAAATCATCGATTCTATTCAGAACCGGACTCGGCTGATCCGATGATGCCCGATGACGCGTACAGACCTGAGTGGTGAGCGTAACTTAACAGATGAGTTTAAGTTCAGCATTCATAGACGGTTCTTAGGCGGCTAATCTAGGCACTGAACGTTCAGATTATCGTATTCGGGTTCTCACTGGCATCAGGCACTGTCAATGCTGTTGGGTATGGGTTTCATTACTTGGTCAGTCATTGTAAAATTCCCATCGCAGTTGAATGAATACAGTTACCTTATACAACGAATATCGTGAACCAAAATGTCTCATCATTCAGTCAGTTCGGAAACACGTTGATGACATAGACTTGACCGGTATCTTAGCTATATTAGTCTTTGAAACACCGCACGCTGGCTTTCTGAATGAATGCAATGCAATTGTCAATGTGTTATGTTATCCGGTTTGGGAGAGACATGAGATCGGATTGGTTTTGAATTCCATTATTTTATAAACATTGCATGATGTAAAGAGTTGTGGAATATTTCTTGGCATATGTACTTCAAAACCATGCGGTATGGTCATATTTTTTCGGGTTGCGTGTGCGGAGTGCACACACAAATGTTTAACAAAAAAACTTTCGTTTGGCTAGTTGTGATTCATCCCGTGACACTTTACGGGCTGCGGTTTACATTGACACAGCCGGCTGACCAAAAAATACCGTACATTTGTGAGCGAAGTATGTGCATGCTTATTTATTAATCTTGGAAGCATTTATTCGTGAATTATGCTTTTATCTTTTAGGCAGTCTTTACAGTAGCTCACTTGGTAGTTTTAGTACTTCTTCATTCAGTTCCATTTTTATAAGAGCAATACGAAATATCAATTGTTTTTGTCCAACTCTTGATTGTTCAAACGCCAATGTGATTTCACTGTAGTTCTCCATTTCGAGTTGCAGAATATGAATTCATGATTGAATTCTGGAAAACGTTATGTAGCCTAAACATTCTTGAGTTACGCTATAATCGGGTTATTGTGTTTAACTAGGGCAAATATAGCAATAAAACAAAACAGAGCTCACTGATTGTGTGTAAACACCCGGAATACGCGATTGGAATTGAGACAGACAATGCTATCTTATTAAGTGAATTGTTAAAAGAAGATCAGCGTCCCCTCTTTGTCCAATTAAACGCATTTTGTCGTCCGTGCTCCGAAAGAGAATACGCCCACGCATTGAAAATGGCGTTTTGTTTTTATATATCGATTGAAAGTGCAAATAATTTTTATCATTAGCAGTTTTAAATTACGAGTTAGAAATGATCCAATACACAGGAAATTTTTCATCACAACTGATAAGTTCGACGAGAAAGACCGGAAGCAGGGTGGAGATATTTTACGTCGATGTGTGCATACATTAAACTGATTTAGTTTGGTTTGATTAGTGGGATTGTGCATTCTCCTTGTAATAACAATCCGCTGACTTATTGTTTCTCATGCAGGATCAACGATGGAATGTTGTCTGACTTCAGTCTGATGGAACAGGATTGGGCAAAAGACCGGTAAGCGTATAAAGCTGCATTTCTTCATTGTTGTATTTTTACGCATCATTGCCTCTGGGGTGGTTCTGAGTAGTCCATTAAATCGTTAGCCGCTCTCGATGGTTGACTATTCTGAATCCTTTAATATTAGCTTACAGTGAGTATAATTTAGCCCGAAATACACGCAGACATGTAACATTTATTATGCAGGTCTAATCGAAACTGAAGCAACGGGTCCCTGTGAAACACTTGTGGGTTGGTATAGGCAACAGCATTTATAATGAAGTAAATTTTTTCCAAATAATGATTAACAAGTCTTAGCGAGTCTTTATAGCCGTGATTTTCCTGATTCGTTTATACTCAGCAGATGAAATGTTTCATAATGTAGTGGATACTCTCATTTCGTTAGTAGTGGTTGAGTTAAGAGGTAAATAAAAGAGTTGCCATAATGGATTATATATTAGATAAAATAATGCCTCATAACAACAACCGAGATGGCAAGGGTTTATGGAAATAATCCGGGATGATTCTTGAGTCATTCCTATCAAATTCCAGAATATATCCATTTTGACATGACTGAATGACTATCCCCGTTCAACACGTCGTTTCCTCATTTGATCTGTACGGGCTAGAAGATGAATCAATGAAAACAATTGTTCGCCATTGAATGTGTTCTCATTCCTATTAGAAAATATTGCGTTTTCATACTTGATGAAGTTTGCGATTTTCATGTTGAGATTATTTAATTTTGGCAACCAAGGTCAGGCACGTTTAATGGACACTCATGCAGCCTAGAAAGTAAGTAGATCGAGGTAGACAAGATATTAATTATTGTTCATGCCCAACACAATAATGTAGGTGATAAATATAATGAAACCCTATTTGATGAAAAATATATTTAAATGCATCACAATCGGCTAGTACTGTAGTTTATTCACATATCCGAAACTCATTGGTGAGGTACATTATATATTTTTCATATTTACTTCATATTATTCGACAACTCCAGTACCGCAGACGGATATTCCTATCACAGTCAAGTGAAAACTTCGTAACTAAAGCCATTGTCATTTCTCCGGATTTGTTTTCATCGGTCCTTTAAAAACATCTTCATTTATCAGCACGGAAATGTGTAAATGCAATGACATACTTTGAGGGACCAGATTCTCTTGTTTCATATCTACAATTATCATTTAAATCTGTATGCTCACCGTTCAATTTCATCAAGTCATTATTCTTTTGTTCGAGTTTATTATCATAAATACATTTACGCAACAAAAATTTCATTCCAGTGGAGCAATTATGTTTAACCGAAATTGGTTATTGATTCGCCAAGTTTAGTTGACGTGGGAATGATCCAGACGTACTATGCAGCTTGCAGTCCATGCATGCTAGGAAACATTAACACAGAATATCCACCAAGTTCAATGTGACGTGAATACTGGTAAAATGGAACACAGATGAATCATTGACCTTAGGTTTAGCAATTTTGACTCACTTTATATTCTGTCATCAATCTAGAACTAGAAGAAAAGCTGCATTAACCAGTCAAAGTAGTCTCAACTTAACCAACTGTGCATACGCAACGCGGTTCTTATCTAAACTGACACACGCTCCAATAAATTACTCTTTCAATCAATCAATCAGGTCTTCAGCCAAAGAGGCAAACAATGAAACACCGAGTTCATATGTTTCCTCAATAATATTTTTATTGTCGTTCAGTTATGCAGAAAGAAAACTATTGGCAGATAAATCTAGATTCACAATCGTTCACTAAGCAAGCTAATATTCGGTTCAATGCTAAAATGTCGCACAAAGGTTCCATCTTACGTCTTTTATGGTACAAAAAAAGATGAAATTAAAATATAGTCTTCAAACTTGCCCGTCCCTTTGTCGGTAGGCAAAAACTGTAGAACATTTGATCACACATTGAATTGATTGTATAAACAGAAATATCACTCAAGATCTTTGGTTTAATGAACTCTGTTTGATAACATAAATAGCAAGTTAACAGCTGCTGAACACTCAACTGTGTGAAGTTTCTNCTCAAAGTACAATTTCGACAAGTAACGGGATACTGTGTTACGTGTGCTGCATGCACGTCGGACTCCAGATTACTTACCAAATAAATCATTCGTTTTTATAACAGAGAAAAAGGCCGATATGACACAACCAAAGAATAACTATTTGGTTATCAAGAAAAAGTTCTCATGTGTTCATGCGATATTTTTCTCGGCTTGTTGATAGTGCCCCATGATGCTCATTCTCCCCTTTAACTCACAGTTACTTTTGAGTACTGGTGTGGGATGATTGATATTGNCCTTCACGCACAACCCTCAAATATTCCTGTCGACCATGCACTCAGAAGCGCTAGACTCGAGCTTCACGCTTATTAGAACTGATCAGCGGTTCATATCTACCGTCCCGTCCGGGATTTGAACTCCGGACCCACAGCAGAGAAGGCGTATGTTACCGCCGCACCAACCGGATCATGCTCACAATTAACTGTGAGTCAAAGATGAATTACTAACCTAATCTATTAGGTTTGTGGTCAGTGAGCCCGTAACCTGCATGTGAAACCTAATTTGGTGGGAGGCTTTCGATTGGAGTTAACAGATTGTCAACTATGTCTCCCCCTGTTTTTGTCGGGCCAAATTGAACTGGCTGACTGTCTCCGAAGAGGACACCTGGACAAACATGAATTGACAATTCTGTTCAGCTCTGGCATGAGCTGGTTGGTACAGGGGTTACACGCACACCTCGAAAAAAGAAACTAAGCTGCTACTAAAGGTAAAGAAAAGCACTCGCTTCACTCCAAGCCATACTTAGAATCTGTTCAGTTCCATGCGAAGCATATTGACATCGCACCATGGCTGCCCATAGCCGATAGTGGACATATACACGGTAGTGTGATCTTATTTCACTCATGACAGTGACAGTGATGGTAAAGCTCTTCGTTTGTGTTAGGTATATTTTTCTGCTACTTCATTCTGGGAGATAGAATCGTGGTAATAAAATAGCGGTCTTACCAGTGGAGAACCCTGAGTTTGTGAATTGATTCTAAACTCGATTAAGGAGCAGTTCAGACGGCCATAAACTCGATTTAGCCAACCGAAAAATTTGATAATAACTTGCATGTTAAGCACAAACTCTGATGACAATTTTTGCGAAAGCAATCGAATAATTTTAGTTTTGAAAATTACAATCGATTGCTGTGTTATTGTGAGAAGTTAATAATTCAGAGATCAAACACCCTTTTATTCTCCTTTAGGAATGTGATAATTATCCACTCTATTTTCAGTAGTTCGCTTATGTTTATTTTAAAACTATTCAGTGATCTAATGCATGCAATAAGTGTACAGCAGTTTTAACAACAGACGAACTAGTTACCTAGGTTGTGAGGCGATTCCAGCACCTACCACACCCGTCCGACTTACCCGTGAAAGTTCTCATGTTTTAGAACTGGTCTGTCTACCATAAGACCATACAAAGTTTGAAATGTTAGTGTTATACATCCTTGTTTGATGCATGATGAAGGGGCGAAATCCGATACTCATGGGCACAGTGGTCGGACGGTTAGGATCACCGTTCGAGCAAACCGGAGGTCAAGAGTCCTAATCCCGCTATCGCCGCCAAAGTTTTACTTGTCTATTTTTTCCAAGGAAGCCTTTGATTGAGCAAAGTCATTTTCTGAATGTTGACCATATCGATATGAATCCCATAAATAATGGGAAGTAAAAAGCTTATTGGTCGCTCTTCGGTATTGCCTTTTGCTTAGTTGTGAAAGCCAGAAATAAATGCCCTGGAACGTTTGATTTTAAACCGCATCCCATGCTCAGGATAGGTTTGAAGTTGACCCAGATGACTGTTTAGTGGCCTTCGACGTTACTCAAGATGATAAGGTTCAAAAGCTAAACATTTCAATGACAAAAACTCATATCACTTGACGACCACCACCATAAACTTTCTTGTATTCTGTTCAATATTGACACTGGTCAAACTTTAGTGTTCTACCGGCAATTCACACATTATAACTAGCAGTGCTTTTATATCCCACCGACTCCTTTATCTTCGTTTTGGCACAAACCTTTGCATCACCTGAACTCGTTTTTGCAGCTCGACAATGGCCAATGATCGAGTACCTCCCACGGAACCGGATGAATTGTGGCACACACCGGATACACTTCGTCGTTATCCACCGTATGCGTTGTCTCCTGGTCATTCCGATTTTTACGGTCCATACTCCGATTTGGATGCGGAGGGATGGCGCGACGAGGTGGACTATCCGGGCTATCATCAAGATGAAACACCTTGGTCTGATTATGTGCCAACTGCCGCCGAGTGGGATGAGAATGTTCGAGGAGATTGGGCTGCGCCAGTCAACGAACCGTTTCGAAATTTTGGATTTCGGTAGGCTTTAAATCTGAACGCTTTCTTCGCTTCGCGTTCGTAAACACATCTAAATCTATTCCTTAATGCGGCATTGTGCACAATGGCTCATACTGTCTTAATTCTGTTGCTCGCATAGATCAGATTATTGTAATGCAGCTGCTTTACTTCACTCATTTAAGGCGACACGTTTGTGGGATACGACGGAAATTAGTTACACTCTGCTCAATGATAAATCGTGTCAGTCACTGGTAGGCTTTGGGACAAATAGTGCAATAGACCGGAAAATTGTATAGGCCGAATAAGAAAATGCTTTGTAAGATACCACCCACTACCGTTTACAGAAGCTCCGCGATTCCCTATGCCGTATAAAGGAAGATTGCGTCGTAAACGAATCATTGGACTACAGTCCGAGCATTTTACTCAACCCGCCAACTCACGAACCAATTTTATGAGCGTGAGTTACTGCTTGCCCAACTCCTTTTGTTCAAGAAATCAACTGCATATATAAACGATCAATAATGTATTCAGCTGGTTGCGGGTTTAACCCTCGGATATTTATTTCCGGCATCAGAGCCGTTCGTTTTCACTTTTGCTCAATCAGGGTGAATTAACTTTTGTGGCTGATCATTACTGGCAGTCCCGAAGTCCAATTTCGTCCCTCAGGATGAAACCCTAGTTGATCCTTCAGAGTTGGGTGTGTGTGAGTGTCCATTTGTGTATTTAATCGTTCTTCATGATTGCTCTAATGCCGAAATGCACACACATTAGGTACAACTACGAAAAGTTCACTGGAGGTAGGTCCGGGAAACTTTGGGATATAATCGTTCACTTCCGTCCCGGCGTACTCATTGGTCACCTTAGACCGTTCCCACTGCAACCCACCCCGTCAAACCATATCCACATATGCAAAAGCTTACAGCCTTCTAGTCTCCAGTTTGATTATGTTTAATAACTCTAACTTCCGGACAGGAACACCACCTACATTCTTATAGAACTCTCGATCCATAGAATCGTTTGAGAAACTAATGTGCATGCGAGACTGCGTATACGCTTCTGCCTCCAGGTTTATCTCTTGTGCTTTCATTAAACACGTCTCTGTCTCAATTTTTAGTTGTGCTCCCTTTTTTACTTCCGGTATTTCCATCCCCCTCCTCCCCCGAAGATCTGTTCGTCTGTGACTTTCACATGGAAATTTTTCCTAGCTGATCAAAATTTTGATCCCCCTTTGGATCGAGTATATTATGAATCCAAATCATGTTTGTACAGAATGTTGATACTCTCCTTTGCAACTGAATATTTTACCTCGTATTCGGATAAATCCCGTAATTCAACTGATATTAGTTGCTTATAGTTAAAATTAAGCTAGATCAAATAGATTCACGAGAGTCTCTGATCATTTTTACCATATTTCACGCATCCTTGGGTCCTGGTTGGGAGCTGAAAGTCTTGGTTCAGCAGGTTCAGCCCTTAGCCTACTGGAGTGTGTAGTGTAGTTTTACGTTACGTCAAACTGGTCACTATCGCTACTCAGATATCTTGAAGCGTTTTATAACGTCTCTGATTGTAATTTTTGAACACAGGGTTTCAACATCCCCCTTTGAGTTCGCTGTCCGTGGTTCATCAGCCTAATATAAGCTGCTCATGCTCTCTTACTCTTGGTGCAAACAACCTCATACAAAGGCTGTTGTTTGTAGGCTTTAATAGATGCACAATATGCGAGCATCTTCTGGAGCGAGAAAGAGGCCTTGCGCACTACCGGAAAAGTAGAGGGTATACAATTAGGGTAATAATAATGCTCACACCGGCATCTCTCCCTGCTGAAAATACACTATTTTGTGCAAACAATCTCAAGACATTGCACTCCAGTCCGAGTTGAAATACGTATCCGATGCGGTAATAAAAGTAAAATACAGGGCTATATTTTTATTGTAAAGCAACCAAATATGATTTATTGGAAACACTTAGATTTCCAGCCCTTCTTGAAAAATATTTACTGTCTTCCTCCAAATTTTTTTGATTTAAACATTCCTACACAATCCGACTAGTTTAGGTCTGGTAAACGTGCTGGTCATAACCACAAGCATTTGCCTGTCATTCATTAACACGTCTTGCTCGCTCAACAGCGAGTTATACATTTCGTAATAGTCAACCATTAATTCTCATCATGTATATTTCAATAACCGTTATTTGAGTTTGTAGTTCAAGGATTCCTCGTCGAACAGTCATCTTCAGTTCATGCTTTGCGCGTGATATGACAAGGAATAT